CAAACGGACCTGAGCGCACGCATACAGATGTGCATAAAATGTTCCTTGGACTTAAAGCCAAATGGACCTGAGCGCACGTATACAGATTTGCATAGACCGTTCGTCGGCTCTAAACCCAAACGGGCCTCAGCGCACGTATACAGACGTGCATAGCCTGTTCCCCGGATCTGAACCCAAACGGACCTGAGCGCACGTATACAGACGTGCATAGACTGTTCCCCAGTTCTGAACCCAAACGGACCTGAGCGCACGCATACAGATGTGCACAGACACAGAGCTCCATAAACGGCACATTGCCAATTAACGCCTATCAGCTCCAAGACACCTACTCCTCAGAACGAGACATTCCTCTCTTAAACCAGAGGGAACGTCTCTCGTCCGTGACTATCTCCTCGGTCAGCATTCCAGCCTCATCATTAACTGTGTCCTGGGAGGCGAGAGACGGATAAAAGGGCTCAGGGAATATTAAAGGGTGAACCAGAAGCTAAACAATTTAATACCGGCAGTGAGTCAAGGTTCGCCTACGGTCTAGATTCTCAACTGTTCTTTCCAGCCTGGAATCCATCCTGTGGGACTCAGAGCGCCCTACAAACGCTTCGCATGGAGGCCAAGGCCATTTCCTCTTTGCCTGCCACGCAGGAACCCTGTTCATAACCCACCACTGCCACCAACCCCACCCCAGTCTAGGTCGCCTCAAAGCCCCAGCTCTTAGGGCTCATCCTGGCTCTGGGGATGCCCGTGGGCAAGCCTGGGGACGTTCAGTCCAACCAGACGTCACCCTTAGGGTTTTCCTACAACTCCGGTGAAGAATCAGGGACTCCCTGAGGGCTCCCCCATCTGTCCCGGTGAGGAGGAGAAAAGTAGGGGGGGGGGGCGGGTACCCTGCAAATCTCCACTCGGTTGGCGGCCTCGTCCATCTCTTCCCTGAGGGCGTCAGCTTTGGCACCTGCGGGCTGCAAGCTGCCGGACAAACCTAAAGACTTCGACGTCTGCTGCCACCTGGTGGAAAACAGGAGAAAAAGAGACGTGTGAGACAGGCCGAGCCCTGGGGTATCACGGGGACACCGAGAGAAGAGCCGGTTAGGGACGTTCCCCAGGAGGCCCCGGGCGGTAGCTGCTGGACACAGAGGATCAGCCGCCCCGTTCGGACAAGGGCGGGCATTCCCCGGATTGTCCCCCACGTTCCCCTGAACACCAGGGATCACACAGGACCACCACCGGTGCTTCCTCTGAAGCACAGGGCTGGCTGTCCCTTTCTGGCCCCTGACTGTCCCGCGGACTCCGAGTCTGGAGACGCTCACTGACTTGGCTGCAGCCAAAACCGTGGCGAGCTGAGAGCACGGGCAGTTAAGATCAAAGACGAATCTGAAAGCGAAAGCCTCTGCCAGCCAGCGCGGAAAGCTTGCTGTCAACATTGAGAGGCGGCGCTCATATTTCCTTAAACGTTTCTCTTTTCGCGGACAAGACCTGCCGTCGGAGGCAGGCGCTGGGGGCAGGCTGGGTGGCGAAGCTGCTGCTCTGGCGTGATCAGGGGGATACCCACAAAGCAGCCCCCCAGAAGGAAGGCTCCGATGACCCTAGATGGTAGCAGGTGTCGTGGGGTCAGCAGCGGGTTCCTCGTGTGATCAGGACATCAGGACAGCCAACACCTGTCTACAGTCTAACACCTGCCTGAAAATCGGGGTGGGGAGGGGCAGCGAGGGGAAGGGGGCCCTGGTGGGGGTCACTGCCCAGACTGCAGTGCAGCTGTGTTTCAGGGGGGCTCATGGGGCCCAAGCTGCCAGATGTCTCAATTGCCAAGAGAAGCTGGCAACTGTCACAGGAACCCTCCTGATGAAATATGGCAACAGGTTAGTTTCTCTCTCTCTTTTTTTTAAGTTTATCTATTTATTTTGAGAGAGACAGGGAGAGAGACTCCCAAGCAGACTCCGCACTGTCAGCACAGAGCCTGATGCGGGTCTCGATCTCACAAACCATGAGATAATGACCTGAGCTGAAAGCAAGACTCAGACGTTTAATCAAATGAGCCAACCCGGCACCCCTAAATACTTTTTAAAAATTTATTTATTTATTTTGAGGGGTGGGGCAAGTGGGGGAGGGACAGAGAGAGAGGGAGAGAGAGAGAAAATCCCAAGCAGGCTCCATACTGTTAGCGCGGAGTCTGACGTGGGGCTCGATCTCGCAGACCGTGAGATCACAACCTGAGTGGAAACCAAGAGTTGGATGCTTGACCGACTGAGCCATCCAGACGCCCCTAAATAATTTCTCTCAAACACCATATAGGCCAATAGCATACAGACCAAACTGGACGACCCTGCAGGTACCATTTGGCTCTCACGCCATCCAACATAAAGGCAAAAGATAACGTGACCCTCACTTTGAGAGTCACAATCTCTTCTTACCCTCAGGACATACAGAGGGGTCCAAGGCTGTGACACAAGAAGAGGAAATAATAGTCATCTTTGCTATTAACAAAATAACAACAACAACAACGGATTCTGTATTCCTTAGAGAAATGCATTCACGGGAAAATTACTTAAAAAGGCTTTGGGACGTCAAGCTGGCTTGAAGGTCCAGAGACGGACACACAGGTCTTGGGAACCATTCCTCGCTCAAGAAAAGAATTCAAGGCAAAATTGAAAGGAAATACTCTACTCAAAGATGTTTCAAAATCTAAACTAACAGATAAGGATTAATACAAATTCCTGGGGAATTCTTTCTCATAAAATGGTTTGCCCTACAGAAAGGATACATTTAATAGACATCCGGAGGTTTGTTTAAGCATGTGAAACAAAGTATTAAAGTGTTGTGGATGGGTGCTTGGGTGGCGCAGTTAAGCGTCTGACTTCAGCTCAGGTCAGGATCTCATGGTTCGTGAGTTCCAGCCCCTCCTCGGGCTCTGTGCTGACAGCTCAGAGCCCGGAGCCTGCTTCGGATTCTGTGTCTCCCTCTCTCTCTGTTCCTCCCCCGATCTCACTCTCTCTTTCTCAAAAATAAATTCAGTGTTTAAAAAATTTAACAAAAAATAAAATTTTAAAAATAAAGCGTCGTAGGGCTTGTCAAATAAAATAGGAGACTCCATGGATGTAATTTAGATCACTGATAATGAATAGGGTAGATTATGAGATCAAGCTCTGGGGTGCCTGGCTCGCTCAGTCAGTGGAGCATGTGGCTCTTGTTCTCAGGGTTGTGAGTTCAAGCCCCACCTTGGGCGTGAGCCTACTTTAAAATATATATATATACATATATATATATATATATGTATATATATGTA